TCACTCGGTGTCTCCAACTCTCGTGGGACCTGCCCTCAATTGCTGAAAGAGCCTGACCTCTGACAAAGACCAATGATTCCAGCAGTAATTAATGATACTGTCAAATTAATTAACCCAAGTCTTTGTTCACAGGAAAAAAACCCTTCTAATATCAATACGGCTGTTTACCAGTCCTTGACCAAGCTCTATAGACCCAAACCTTCACAACTGGGACACGAGGACACCACACTGACTGATGGCCCTAATAAGGTCTCACCTAGTAAGCCGCCAACATTCGTTAATAAACCTTCTCTCCTTAACCGTCCTTTGATAATAGGACCAGCAGATTAACAGGTCTTCAAAACCTAACACTATTTTATATAATACAAGCCAGCAAATACCAATGTATATGACTCAAATTTCCTATAATACCTTTTAGTTAGTCTTTTGAATTATGGTGATGAAACACTAGACAAATGCTGTAGGATTTCATTAAACCTTTTAATAAACAGCCCTCATTAAAATGCCAGTTCCCTTGTCCTTGTCTGTGAGGACTCCAACTCCTACAAATGCTCACGTATACATTTCCATATTATCTCTTTAGAGGATTCACAACTATTTTCTTACACCTAACATAGCTTTTATCCCATTTAGAATAATTACCCTCCATCCCATTTCTGACTTTCAAGAAAAACAAGACACTTAATTGACCACAGGAGGACTCTCTCAAGGGCATCAGGCTGCAAAAGCTCTGCCTCGAGCTCCCAACTTAAGCTGATGTAATCTGCTACAAGAAGCTCACTTCTATTTTTAAATTATACCCTTTTACTCTGCCTTCAAAGGGCACATATATCACACGTTGTAACTTTGCTCATAAAATACCTCGTGGTTCTGGGGTAAATCACGCTGTCAGGAGGAGCTTCCAACTGCACACAGCCACCCAGCCCTGCCCCTTTAAATGCATCCACTATTTCCTATTATGTGATCTGCAGGAGAGGAGCTCCATGTGGCCAAACTCTCTGGGTATCTGGTTCTTCACAATCATTTTGACAAGGAGCAGATGACTGGCAGGGGCCTTCTTGAAGGCTGGGATCAAGATTTCTCCTTCTCTGTATTTCCATCCCCTAACATAGACACTCAATAAATGCTCTTCAGATGGATGCTGAGAGCACTGTCAACAGGCCTATGTGCTTCAAAGGGTGCCAGAATGAAAACAGATTATTCGCTTTGTTTAATTTTAAGTTTTTCATTCATCATTTCAGTCATGCTCATGGTGTGCTATTTAAAAGGTTTCTTGGCATTACGAAAACACTATGAAAAAAGCCTTGGTTGGAGGTGAAAATACACTTGAACTTGCTATTTAGTTTTTTATACTTATTCTGCTTATTTCTGGAAATAATGGAGAGCTCTGTATTAAAGTAGTGCTTCTATGGAGTCTGGTAGAAGTCTCTCCGGTCTACACTTCCCTCTCACTTCATGGTCACGCCGTGTCTCATCTTGGATTTGTGCAAAAGCCTCCCAGTAGTTCGCCCAGCCCCAAGGCTTGGGTCCTTCCAATCCCTCTCCACATTAAAATCAGTTTGATCATGGCCCTCCCCTTCTCAACTCTTCCATTTCCCCCTTGCCCCCGGGAAGTTGTCCCTTCTGCTCTGTCCCTGCTTTCCTTCCCAGCCCCATGGTCTGGGCACCCCCATTCCCACACCCACCCTGCTTTCTGTGCTCCAGTTCTAAGTGCCCTGTTGCTTTCACCTCAAGGCATTTGTTTAAGTTGCTTCCTAAGCCTGGAACTCTGTTCTCTGTTCCCACTCCCTCTACCCAGCTCCTTCCTACTCATCCTTCACATCCTGTCTGGATGCCACTTCCTCCAGGAAGCCCCTCCTGGTTTTTCCTGTGGCACCATGTGCTACCTCCAACAATTGCTTACTGTACTGCACCATGTTTACTTGCTCTATCCTGAAATGACTGCACAAGACACGATGGCAAAGGTCATGCCTGCTTGTTTACTACCACATTGCTCTTGATGTTGCCTGGCATGTGGCTGGGCTTCAATGTCATTTGCTGAATGAACAACTAAATGAATGAATACATCCTAAAGATTCCAAGTAGGGGGACTACATTTGTGAGGTATGAGTTAGAATTTTGTCTCCTCCAGAAAGTGTGAACTCAGAGAATAGAATTTGTAGCAAAACAAACACGACTTTAGCTCAGGATTCATCAGTTGAAATGTAAAGGCAGCAGCTGCCTCTGAAGAGACTGAAATTCCCTCCTCCTACAGTAACTTCTGAGGAGCAACCCACAGCTGGATTGCTCTCCCAGATGACTCAGAAACACGTTTAGGTAACACATTCCTGAGAGATAAATGGAAACTGTTTAAGATGGAATCTCACTGGGACAAAACGCTAAAGCTTGCTCAAAGTTAAATTTTGTATTATAAACTCCAAGTGAACAGAAAACTCCACAATTTATGTCCATTCCAAAGAGGGCAGTAAGTCACAAATTAATAATGCTACTTCCTACCTGCAAAACCACATTTGTCAATTTCCAAAACATCATGAGGTCAGCTGCTTACAGGAGGAATGCCCTAGAGGTTTGAGAAAACATGTCTGGCACTTCAAACTCAGTGCCTGAAATCTTGAGTGCCAACTTGGGGTCAGGCGCTGGACTGGCCCTGGGGTTATGGCTGTTAAAGAGAACCAACGTGGTCCCTGTCTTTGTGGAGACCCCAGCCTAATCAAATATACACTTCAAGACAGACATCTTTGAGAAAATATTCTTTCCCTAAATTCTAAGCACACCATGTTCAGCTATTAAATTAAACACAGCACACATGGGATTGGGAAGTGAGGCATAGCTCCAGCTACTTCTGCATGGCAAAGGATTTTTTTTTTTTAAACCATATTTTCCAAAATCAACAGATTGATGACACTAAAGAGTGGGTAATGTTTCAACATTCAAACCAAATGACGAAGTGCTTGGTTTTTATTTCATCCTTATAGTTAGAAACTGTTCCCTAAAACAAAACCAAATAAACACAATTCCATTCCATGTGAAACTGTTCTGCCTTCCAGAATAATCATGTTTATTTTTATTACCTGGCACATAAAAGGTGCTCAATAAATGTTCACTGAATGAATAAATCACAGGAGAGGTATTACTATAAAAATGCCTTTGTCAATTTTAGGTATGTTCTTCAACTACCTTTGTTTATTTCTTGGGGAAAAAATTAACTCTACATTCTAGGATTCTTTTATTTCCCTCTCTGACCTTGGGCTAGTTTCCTAACATGGGTATCATTTTCCTCATCTATAAAATAAAATCTGAATTTTGGCTATTGTCAGACTTAAAGGCTGAAGTAGGTATAACACAATTAGCACTATGCCCTGCAGACAATGGCTTTTTTTCCTTTTTCCTTTTTTTTCCTCCTTCCACTCCATGCTCCTCACCCCCCCCCCCCCCCCCAAAAAA